TGGTTGGCTTCTAGTTCGGTTTCTTTGGAGGTTTCTTCGGTTCTTCTTCGTTTGTTTGCCTTTCCGTTGCCTACAAGTTGCCACGGTGCTTCGTTTAGGGTTGGGTCGTCTTCAGCAATTTTCCTTGCTCTTGCTACTATATCACTGTGTCCTTCTGACGTTAATAATTCAAGAAGGATGGTTAGGAAAGTCATATCCTGGGGAGACATGGTTACACTGTACTAAAAGAGTAACTGAGGGAGTGACTGTAACTGTGTACTGCTACACTCAGCGACTGAAGTGAAGTGTGTGTTTAAACAGACTTTAAACAGCTTTGATTTTATACCTGTATTTGGGTATATATATATATATATATATATATATATATATATATATATATATATATATATATATATATATATATATATATATATATATATTATTTATATAAATATATATATATATATATATATATATATATAAATATATATATATATATATATATATATATATATATATATATATATATATATATATATATATGCGAACAAGCCTGAATGGTCCCCAGGACAATATGCAACTGAAAACTCGCACCCCAGAAGTGACTCGAACCCATACTCCCAGAAGCAACGCAACTGGTATGTACAAGACACCTTAATCCACTTGACCATCACGACCGGACATAATGAGGTGATAGCATTTGGTAAAATGCTATGCCCAAGATTACTATCCGAGTGCCGGCGTTGGGGTGGTTCAAATAGCCTCGGCTATCACCTCATTATGTCCGGTCGTGATGGTCAAGTGGATTAAGGCGTCTTGTACATACCAGTTGCGTTGCTTCTGGGAGTATGGGTTCGAGTCACTTCTGGGGTGTGAGTTTTCAGTTATATATATATATATATATATATATATATATATATATATATATATATATATATATATATATATATATATATATATATATATATACATATATATATATACATATATATATACATATATATATATATATATATATATATATATATATACATATATATATATATTATTAAATATGACCGAAAAAGTAAGATTAATAATTCTAACACGAATTTTCTCAATCTTTCGTACATTACGCTTCACTGTTGGAGGTAAATCAAAAATCACTTCTCCAAAATTCATTTTTATTTCTAGTCTGACGCGACACGGGCGCGTTTCGTAAAACTTATTACATTTTCAAAGACTTCACAAATACACAACTGATTAGAACTTACGTATCTCTGCTATTATATCTACATTTGAGTGAGGTGGGAGGGATGATGTGGCATATAGTGATGTGGCATTAACACAAGACAGAACATGAGGGGATATTAATAGGGTATTAAAAGTATCAACACAAGACAGAACAGAAACAATGGGTATTGAATAGAAGTGTTTGTAGAAAGCCTATTGGTCCATATTTCTTGATGCTTCTATATTGGAGCGGAGTCTTGAGGTGGGTAGAATATAGTTGTGCAATAATTGGCTGTTGATTGCTGGTGTTGACTTCTTGATGTGTAGTGCCTCGCAAACGTCAAGCCGCCTGCTATCGCTGTATCTATCGATGATTTCTGTGTTGTTTACTAGGATTTCTCTGGCGATGGTTTGGTTATGGGAAGAGATTATATGTTCCTTAATGGAGCCCTGTTGCTTATGCATCGTTAAACGCCTAGAAAGAGATGTTGTTGTCTTGCCTATATACTGGGTTTTTTGGAGCTTACAGTCCCCAAGTGGGCATTTGAAGGCATAGACGACGTTAGTCTCTTTTAAAGCGTTCTGTTTTGTGTCTGGAGAGTTTCTCATGAGTAGGCTGGCCGTTTTTCTGGTTTTATAGTAAATCGTCAGTTGTATCCTCTGATTTTTGTCTGTAGGGATAACGTTTCTATTAACAATATCTTTCAGGACCCTTTCCTCCGTTTTATGAGCTGTGGAAAAGAAGTTCCTGTAAAATAGTCTAATAGGGGGTATAGGTGTTGTGTTAGTTGTCTCTTCAGAGGTTGCATGGCTTTTCACTTTCCTTCTTATGATGTCTTCGATGAAACCATTGGAGAAGCCGTTATTGACTAGAACCTGCCTTACCCTACAGAGTTCTTCGTCGACTTGCTTCCATTCTGAGCTGTGGCTGAGAGCACGGTCGACGTATGCGTTAACAACACTCCTCTTGTACCTGTCAGGGCAGTCGCTGTTGGCATTTAGGCACATTCCTATGTTTGTTTCCTTAGTGTAGACTGCAGTGTGGAAACCTCCGCCCTTTTCCATGACTGTTACATCTAGAAAAGGCAGCTTCCCATCCTTTTCCGTCTCGTAAGTGAAACGCAGCACGGAACTCTGCTCAAATGCCTCCTTCAGCTCCTGCAGATGTCTGACATCAGGTACCTGTGTAAAAATGTCGTCAACATACCTGCAGTATATGGCCGGTTTCAAGTTCATGTCGACTAAGACTTTTTGCTCGATGGTACCCATGTAGAAGTTTGCAAACAGGACACCTAGGGGAGAACCCATGGCGACCCCATCTACTTGCTTATACATGTGCCCATCCGGGCTCAAGAAGGGTGCCTCTTTAGTACAAGCTTGGAGTAGTTTCCTCAGAATACTTTCTGGCATGTCAAGAGGAGTACAGGCTGGATCACGATACACTCTGTCAGCTATCATTCCGATTGTCTCGTCCACAGGTACGTTGGTAAACAGCATGTCAAAACTCCTCTTGACATGCCAGAAAGTATTCTGAGGAAACTACTCCAAGCTTGTACTAAAGAGGCACCCTTCTTGAGCCCGGATGGGCACATGTATAAGCAAGTAGATGGGGTCGCCATGGGTTCTCCCCTAGGTGTCCTGTTTGCAAACTTCTACATGGGTACCATCGAGCAAAAAGTCTTAGTCGACATGAACTTGAAACCGGCCATATACTGCAGGTATGTTGACGACATTTTTACACAGGTACCTGATGTCAGACATCTGCAGGAGCTGAAGGAGGCATTTGAGCAGAGTTCCGTGCTGCGTTTCACTTACGAGACGGAAAAGGATGGGAAGCTGCCTTTTCTAGATGTAACAGTCATGGAAAAGGGCGGAGGTTTCCACACTGCAGTCTACACTAAGGAAACAAACATAGGAATGTGCCTAAATGCCAACAGCGACTGCCCTGACAGGTACAAGAGGAGTGTTGTTAACGCATACGTCGACCGTGCTCTCAGCCACAGCTCAGAATGGAAGCAAGTCGACGAAGAACTCTGTAGGGTAAGGCAGGTTCTAGTCAATAACGGCTTCTCCAATGGTTTCATCGAAGACATCATAAGAAGGAAAGTGAAAAGCCATGCAACCTCTGAAGAGACAACTAACACAACACCTATACCCCCTATTAGACTATTTTACAGGAACTTCTTTTCCACAGCTCATAAAACGGAGGAAAGGGTCCTGAAAGATATTGTTAATAGAAACGTTATCCCTACAGACAAAAATCAGAGGATACAACTGACGATTTACTATAAAACCAGAAAAACGGCCAGCCTACTCATGAGAAACTCTCCAGACACAAAACAGAACGCTTTAAAAGAGACTAACGTCGTCTATGCCTTCAAATGCCCACTTGGGGACTGTAAGCTCCAAAAAACCCAGTATATAGGCAAGACAACAACATCTCTTTCTAGGCGTTTAACGATGCATAAGCAACAGGGCTCCATTAAGGAACATATAATCTCTTCCCATAACCAAACCATCGCCAGAGAAATCCTAGTAAACAACACAGAAATCATCGATAGATACAGCGATAGCAGGCGGCTTGACGTTTGCGAGGCACTACACATCAAGAAGTCAACACCAGCAATCAACAGCCAATTATTGCACAACTATATTCTACCCACCTCAAGACTCCGCTCCAATATAGAAGCATCAAGAAATATGGACCAATAGGCTTTCTACAAACACTTCTATTCAATACCCATTGTTTCTGTTCTGTCTTGTGTTGATACTTTTAATACCCTATTAATATCCCCTCATGTTCTGTCTTGTGTTAACGCCACATCACTATATGCCACATCATCCCTCCCACCTCACTCAAATGTAGATATAATAGCAGAGATACGTAAGTTCTAATCAGTTGTGCATTTGTGAAGTCTTTGAAAATGTAATAAGTTTTACGAAACGCGCCCGTGTCGCGTCAGACTAGAAATAAAAATGAATTTTGGAGAAGTGATTTTTGATTTACCTCCAACAGTGAAGGGTAATGTACGAAAGATTGAGAAAATTCGTGTTAGAATTATTAATCTTACTTTTTCGGTCATATTTAATAATATATGTCTACAGGAAAGACTGCTACCAAAATATACTAATATATATATATATATATATATATATATACACACACACACACACACAAGTCATGGGTTCTGTCATGGTATAAATGTTGGGAATGATAAGACACGATCGTTCACTCTTTATAAGTAATTGTCTCACTTATCTAACTGCTAAATGTCTGCTGGAAAAAATGTTACTGTTAAGAGAAGGCGTCACATGATCCTTGTGTCAGGGAAAGCAACGGAGAAGCCTTCACCTACAACACATTTATGCATGTCTATATAAGAACAGCATCATGTGAATGTTGATCAAAGAGGTTAATGGAAGGTAGTGCGAGACATTGGGGATGCGGTGTGTATGGTTTGATGTCTTCCCCTATGAGCTAGCACTTCACAATATTTCATGCTTGGGGACTTTCCACAGATGTGACGCAAACACTGGACAGACATTATGAATTTTCCCATAAAAGACTCAGTCTAGCAGGCTGTACAATACTTGCAACAGCAAATTCATCTCACAATATGTAATCCTTTTAGTAAAAAGTTCCAAAATGTAGTTCGTAGAGTTGAACCAAGCGAAATGAATAAAACACCCAGAGACAATATTAATCACGACTGAACGTGTTTCAACATATAAACTAAGAAATAGCAGCTACACAAAATTTTGAGTAATGAGAGACGTGTGAAGCACATTCTTCAATATAATTTACTTACTTGCGCCGCGCAGTTGTGTGGAGGAGTCCTGGAGAGTCTGGTTCTGTGAGGTTGTCCAGGGTGTCGGTTGACGTCTGCCGCTCTCCCGGAGCACCGCCCTTTGATCCACGACGCCTGAACAACAGAGTTAGAATGTTGCATTTGTTGCAGAACATTCTATTTAGAATGTTGTTCTAATATTGTGCACAATGAATGTTTCACAAGATGACCGAACCACAACTCAGAAGATGGAGAAGCGACAACGTTTCGGTCCGTCCTGGACAATTATCAAGTGGTGTGGAAGAAGAGAGTAAGATGAGAGGTGAGGAGCAGGTGAGAGAACTTGTTCCTCACCTCTCCTCTTACTCTCTTACCTTAAATATTTGACTATACCTTCCTCTCTTCTTCACCACCACTTGATAATGGTATTCATACCGGCACATGTGAGCTACCTGCTACACTTTGAGTGTTTACCTGTGATCTACACTGGCCTATGTGAACTACCAGCTACACTGTGACTTTACCTGTGATCTACACTGGCCTATGTGAACTACCAGCTACACTGTGACTTTACCTGTGATCTACACTGGCCTATGTGAACTACCAGCTACACTGTGACTTTACCTTTGGGGAGCCGGTCGGCCGAGCGGACAGCACACTGGACTTGTGATCCTGTGGTCCCGGGTTCGATCCCGGGCGCCGGCGAGAAACAATGGGCAGAGTTTCTTTCACCCTATGCCCCTGTTACCTAGCAGTAAAATAGGAACCTGGGTGTTAGTCAGCTGTCACGGGCTGCTTCCTGGGGGTGGAGGCCTGGTCGAGGACCGGGCCGCGGGGACACTAAAGCTCCGAAATCATCTCAAGATAACCTCAAGATATACCAGTGATCTACACTGGCATATATGAACTACCAGCTACACTGTGACTTTACCTGTGATCTACACTGGCCTATATGAAGTATCCGCTACATTGTAACTGTTTACCTGTGATCTACACTGGCCTATATGAAGTATCCGCTACATTGTAACTGTTTACCTGTGATCTACACTGGCCTATATGAAGTATCCGCTACACTGTAACTCTTTACCTGTGATCAACACTGGCCTATATGAAGTATCCGCTACACTGTAACTGTTTACCTGTGATCTACACTGGCCTATATGAAGTATCCGCTACACTGTAACTGTTTACCTGTGATCTGCACTGGCCTATATGAAGTATCCGCTACACTGTAACTGTTTACCTGTGATCTGCACTATATTAGCAACATTAATGACAATAAAACTATTATTATTTCTTTGCTTCGCCTCATGGTACAATATATGGATATGGATTAAAACATTTATGAAGATCTACTTTAATTCAAAATCCAGTTGGAAAAAATCTTCACGAACTATTGGAAGCGGGAATTAGGTCGTCATAGGCAAGCTGGCCGCTTGCTGGCCCTGTGGATGTCACTAGAGAGACGATGGCCCTCAGGTAAGTTCAGGAAAACTTATTATATATATTAATTTAAATAATTTCCCTGATTCCAGCATTGGGAAATAATAACATTAATAAAAATTTTGCTTAATGTTTTTTTTAATTTTTAACATAGAGCAATTTTTATAGATTCGTTTAAGGGGTCAGGTGCATGTGCACCGAAACTTCCTCAAACACACTCATTTTTTGTGTACATAATGTTCATGGTAAATGCTCCAACTTTTCCTAACGGATCAACAACATACCATGAAAAAAAATGTTAAAAATATCTTATAATGTCAGCAAATGATATTTTATTCATTATGGTCTCAGAATGGCATATAACGTTCGTGTTCCTCTGGAAAAATTATGTTTAAGAGAATAGTTTACATTAAAACATTTTTTGAATGTGGCCATCCAAATATTTGCCAAATTTATACGCAAAATATTTATAACTCCAAACGTTATAGTTTTATGACTAAAATTTAGAGAAAACCTTAGTAATAAGAATTTTGCACATAATATGTAAAAATAGTGAGAATTAGTCAGAATCTGAATTTTTTATTTGGTCTCAAAGTTGAAAATATTGTTCACATAGAACATTTGTTCTATTGTTCACATAGAACATTTGTTCTATTGTTCACATAGAACATAAATGCATAAAAATGCATTTAAAGTTTTCGACAATGAATATAGTACTTCTAATGTATGAGATCTCTTATAAGTTTTAATTAAGATTGCTGGACATGTGTAGTGGAAAATGTGTAAGTGGAAGGTCAATATGTGTGGAAATAAAATAAAGAAAAAATAACCCACCAAAAAACAAAATATTGGGCTCCGTTAGGGACAACTTTAACACAGACACTGGGCCCCTTAACTGTCTAACACTAGGTTAGACATATATATGAATGAGATATATGGGCTAATAGGCCTGCCTCGTAGCTGCTGCCTATGGGCTAATAGGCCTTTTACAGTTACCTTTATTCTTATGTTCTTATAATGAAACATATATATTTCAATAACTTTATTGACCATATATAAGTGATGAGGCCCTCGTCTGGTCCTCATTCATCAATACAAGGTAAATAGACAAAGAGAACAGAGTTTGAACTCTAGTCACAACTTCTGCCACCTGTGGCTGATTAACATGTTGTTCCAACTTCACATGCTGAGTGCCGGATAGGGATTTTCCAAGAAGTAGAAGTCACAACAATATCCGCATAGAAACAAAGGAGAGAGAAAAAAACAAAAACTCACAAAAAAGTGGTTGTCAGCTTTTCGTACAAAGGGACATGAGAAATATTGCCATTGGGCAATGTATTCATTTGATATATAATAGATTACAGCATAATAACATATTAACTCATTGTTATGTGTGAAATCTGGCCCTCCAGGTGGCACCAGCGGCATATCCACTCTGTAGACCCTCCTTACTACTGCTGGTCTTCTTTGTGCATGAGACAGGTGCTTGCATCTCTTTATCCCCGAGTGCCAGTAAATAGGAGGAGTTATCGCTATTATCAGTACCGGTTGCTGCCCGCCGCGCACGCATTTATTTTTTGAAATATTCGTAAAAAATCCATTTCTTAACATATTGGGATGAAAGTTTCACGACGATGATGGCCTAAAATGGAAGATTTGTTTAAAATTTAAAATAATTCAAATTAGTTAAATTAAATTAAAATTAAATTAATAATTTAAATTAGATAATGTAAAATGAAGTTTTATAGTTTGTTTACATTAGTCTGAATAAAAATTAGATGTGTAATGAGTTTTAAATCATCTTGGTGACAATTAATAAACTAAAAATTAAAAAAATGTCATTGGATCAAGGTTTTAATTTAAAAGTTTTTAGTGAGCTTGGCTAAGATGTGTTGTGTATATAGTAGAGGACCTGGAAAGGAAGTTCCCAAATCCATTACATAAACAAAGGCGACTCACTTGGCGGCGATGGCGTTGATGTTCTTAAGACCATGTCGAATATCGTGTGAATCAGTGTCTGAGGAGGTGGAGGAGACGGCGCCCCGGATGGGAGGGAGGGAGAGCAGTCTTGCTCCGGGGGCGGTGCCGGGAGCTGAAGACGACGCCGAACTGTCACACAAACACTCATGGTCAGACGATGCCCTCACCCAAGGAGCACCAGTCCATGTCCCCGAGTTAGAGGAGGGTGTTCAGGCAAAGTGAGCCACACTGGTGATCACAGGCAGGACGCCACTAGCAGTGACAGCAGTCTATGCTATTCACAGTACATCTCAAATTTAAAGTTTAGTGTAGTTGCAAACTATACATTCCTTACAACACAGATTGGTGGATATCCATACTTTAATAAAAATAAATCTACGCATGACAAACTAAAATGCCTCAATATAGGCTCCATACACTGCATGCCCAGGAACTAACAAGAGTAAGTCTCAAGACAGTGCTGAACGCAGGCAGCCCAGGCAAGAGATCGCCTCCAAGAGACATCTCCTCTGATGTGCGTTTTTAACTTTCGTAGCAAGAAGCATGGATCATCAGGCAGTTTTCATGCATAACATTAGAGACGGGAGGAGAAGGTTTAATACAATGAAACACATTTCAGAAGTTTAAGAGTGATAATATGGTTTATCACATATGAAACAACGCCAGACATAGCCTGTACACTTTACGTGGAATCGTTGAATAAATTGCATTATAACGATGCCTTCTCTAGCCTGGGATATAAAGGGTTAATTATGAGGAATCTGATATATGAAAACCAAAGTGATAACGGCATCTACTACTTTCTGGGAAATTATTTTTTTAACCAATTATATTGAGGCATAAATCCAAAGGAAAACAAAAGATGATTTAGGTCAACAACCTATGCTACGCCAGAGATAATTTAAGACTGCCCGCAATGTGAAGACACTAATGCAAGAAGAAATATGACCGAGACAGTAGAGGGCCAGCCGCACGGCGTACAGGGATGGCTTGCAGGTAGCACAATACTGAGAGGAAGAGACATCGATCACCATCGTGTGGCAGCAATAGGCGGGAAGTGATCAGAGTTGCCTTGAGACTTGGGGGTGGAGACGTGAGGGTTTGTGGGCGGGCGGCGCCGTGTTCCCGCCACGGTGGGCATGTGGGAGGAATTCTTATGGCCCTTTACACCAGAAGTATTATGTGAGGCGTTTGACCCCGAAGATGTAGGTTGGTCAGAGGGGCGACGATTGGTAGACTGGCTGGCGTTGTTGCTGCTGGTAGAGGCGTGAGACCCAGAAGATGGCAGGTTGCGACGGGCGTGCCCCGGGACACTAGTGGAGTGGGTGCGGGCAAGGGGTGGCAAGCTGTCGTGACCAGAGCTTGCCGAGCTGCCAGGAAGACAAGGAGTGATGGCAAGTCTCAGCACCTCATCTGAGTGTAACAGCACTGGGGGTGCTCGTGGCAACGACTAAGGGGAAACTAACGTGTCAAGAGAGCCTGGCGCCTCCACCACAAAGCCTCCACCACACTCAGCCCTTAAATCAATTTCTCAATGAGACATTGCAGTTGCTGTATCTGTTTGGTAGTTTGCACATAGATAACTATAATTAGCAATAATAAAGCAACTTATTGTGGCCACCACAATAACAATTGGTTACTGTGGTGGGCCCAATAACCAATTGTGGTGGACAGAACCAACACCAAACTAATAGTCAAGAATAAAGTTTACTTCCTGGTTGATCAGTGTGCTCCATCTGCATGGTCAAACGTCTGTGGTTTACATCCCACCTGCATACACTTATAGTCGTCTGTGGTTTATATCCCAGCTGCATACTTTCACATTTTTCTAGTCAATATCACACTTTCATACTCTACTCCTATCATTCACACTTACATCATACTCTCACCCTCTGAACCACAGTTGCCTGTTGTTTACATTCCTCCTACATAATCATATTTGTCGGTCATTTACAATGTCCCTGCATACAGTCACAGTTTTCGGTCATTTACAATGTCCCTGCATACAGTCACAGTTTTCGGTCATTTACAATACCCCTGCATACAGTCACAGTTTTCGGTCATTTACATTCCTCTACATTTTGTTTTGTTTGATTCAATCATTTGTTTCGGTTAATTTAAGTGTTGTATTGAGATAAGAGCGAGTCTGGTGGAAGTATATAACATACAAGATAATGAAGCACATGTCGGGTTGGAGGAACCAGGCCCCAGGACACACCAAGCTCTATGGTAGTCTGGACATGAACAAGCAACATCTACTTAGAAAACATTTCTTTGCATATTCTTTTAATTCTTTATGTACATCGAAAGCAAAGCAAAAAGTTTATATTAAAAAAATACAGAGGTAATGCAAGTTACATACAAAGACATGCACATATGTAAACAAAAGGTAGCCTACTATAAGGTGTCTTAACAAGCTTTTCAAGTCTGTTAAAATCAGGTCCATGTTTCATGAGCTATGCTTAGAGTGACTCTGATGGAAAAAAGCTTAATCTGTGCAAATGTTTTATACTGTCAAGGTTTAGTAAGTTAAGTATCCCTCAAAATGCCTTCTCAACTGTTCGGTTTGATGCTATATGTATTGGTAATAAACGTTTCACTTATCTAATTGTAAGTTATACCTTAATTAGTGTTATACAGTGTTCACTCCAGCTAGAGCTGTATAGCATTGTATAGCTCACTTAAGAATGAAATTTTAAATGTAAATCTTACTGCTGTGCTTAAATAGTAGTAGTGTCGACCAGGTTTTAATGTGATGACCGGTTGTTGTGAGAATCATTTTAAACTTTTCTCAACCTTAAAGTAAATTGTTGTTCTTAATACTGTTGTTAATCCGTGCAAAATAATGATGGCAACATTGCAACAATATGACTGATATCACACAAGTTTATGACTGAAGGACTTCATCTGGTTTACTCTTGAACATGCTTCCAGATTGATATTTATTGCATAATAAACCATTGTGACATAAGTGTTGAATACTTTGGTTACTGAATGTGAGAGGAGAGAACATAAGCTAGCTGAAAATGAATGGCAGAGTGCACATGGCTATTTGATATTTTTACATGAGTGAACTGGTATGTACAAGACGCCTTAATCCACTTGACCATCACGACCGGACATAAGTGGACCCAAGTGGATTAAGGCGTCTTGTACATACCAGTTGCGTTGCTTCTGGGAGTATGGGTTCGAGTCACTTCTGGGGTGTGAGTTTTCAGTTGCATATTGTCCTGGGGACCATTCAGGCTTGTTCGCATTTGTGTTCCTCACGTGTGCCCCAAAGAATGAGGTGATTTGGTAAAATGCTATGCCCAAGATAACTATCCGAGTGCCGGCGGTGGGGTGGTTCAAATAGCCTCGGCTATCACCTCATTATGTCCGGTCGTGATGGTCAAGTGGATTAAGGCGTCTTGTACATACCAGTTGCGTTGCTTCTGGGAGTATGGGTTCGAGTCACTTCTGGGGTGTGAGTTTTCAGTTGCATATTGTCCTGGGGACCATTCAGGCTTGTTCGCATTTGTGTTCCTCACGTGTGCCCCAAAGAATGAGGTGATTTGGTAAAATGCTATGCCCAAGATAACTATCCGAGTGCCGGCGGTGGGGTGGTTCAAATAGCCTCGGCTATCACCTCATTATGTCCGGTCGTGATGGTCAAGTGGATTAAGGCGTCTTGTACATACCAGTTGCGTTGCTTCTGGGAGTATGGGTTCGAGTCACTTCTGGGGTGTGAGTTTTCAGTTGCATATTGTCCTGGGGACCATTCAGGCTTGTTCGCATTTGTGTTCCTCACGTGTGCCCCAAAGAATGAGGTGATTTGGTAAAATGCTATGCCCAAGATAACTATCCGAGTGCCGGCGGTGGGGTGGTTCAAATAGCCTCGGCTATCACCTCATTATGTCCGGTCCTGATGGTCAAGTGGATTAAGGCGTCTTGTACATACCAGTTGCGTTGCTTCTGGGAGTATGGGTTCGAGTCACTTCTGGGGTGTGAGTTTTCAGTATATATATATATATATATATATATTAGTATATTTTGGTAGCAGTCTTTCCTGTAGACATATATTATTAAATATGACCGAAAAAGTAAGATTAATAATTCTAACACGAATTTTCTCAATCTTTCGTACATTTCTTTTCACTGTTGGAGGTAATTCAAAAATCAATTCTCCAAAATTCATTTTTATTTCTAGTCTGACGCGACACTTGAGCGCGTTTCGTAAAACTTATTACATTTTCAAAGACTTTACACATACACAACTGAATAGAACTTACACATCTTAGATTTGTTTATATCTACATTTGAGTGAGGTGGATGGGGTGAGGTGGTATTTAATAGGGTATTAATTTCATCAACACAAGACAGAACACGAAACAATGGGTATTGAAATGGAAGTGATTGTAGAAAGCCTATTGGTCCATGTTTCTTGATGCTTCTATATTGGAGCGGAGTCTTGAGGTGGGTAGAATATAGTTGTGCATTAATTGGCTGTTGATTGCTGGTGTTGACTTCTTAATGTGTAGTGCCTCGCAAACGTCAAGCCGCCTGCTATCGCTGTATCTATCGATGATTTCTGTGTTGTTTACTAGGATTTCTCTGGCGATGGTTTGGTTGTGGGAAGAGATTATATGTTCCTTAATGGAGCCCTGTTGCTTATGCATCGTTAAACGCCTAGAAAAAGATGTTGTTGTCTTGCCTATATACTGGTTTTTTTGGAGCTTACAGTCCCCAAGTGGGCATTTGAAGGCATAGACGACGTTGGTCTCTTTTAAAGCGTTCTGCTTTGTGTCTGGAGAGTTTCTCATGAGTAGGCTGGCCGTTTTTCTGGTTTTATAGTAAATCGTCAGTTGTATCCTCTGAAATTTTGTCTGTAGGGATAACGTTTCTATTAACAATATCTTTCAGGACCCTTTCCTCTGTTTTATGAGCTGTGGAAAAGAAGTTCCTGTAAAATAGTCTAATAGGGGGTATAGGTGTTGTGTTAGTTGTCTCTTCAGAGGTTGCATGGCTTTTCACTTTCCTTCTTATGATGTCTTCGATGAAACCATTGGAGAAGCCGTTATTGACTAGGACCTGCCTTACCCTACAGAGTTCTTCGTTGACTTGCTTCCATTCTGAGCTGTGGCTGAAAG